GAACCCCAAGAATTTACAGTTGGTGATAAATCTGCTATTTGCTCAGAGAGGAGGTATTTGTGCTCATTATAATGGTCATGAGACAATTCTGTTTTTTGCTTGGGAAAGAAACATTTTATCTGTTTTACAAATCTGTTGACCATATAAACAGTTTTGAAGAAATAGCCTAAAACAGGGCTTTGCTTGCAAGAAACATGAGAGAATTCAATATCCTGTTTGATCTGTTCTACAAATACATAGTTTGGAGGTGATACCACGGTTTGTATAGCTTCACTGATAGAATTAAGAGCCCCACTTTTCAATTTTGCCTCTCCGAGATTCCTATCCTACAACTGCTAGCTTCTTAGAGACCTCTTCTCTAGCTTCCTGGCCAGGATTGTAGGCTTCTCTCAAGGATTAGTGATTTGCACTGGCATACATTTTTACTGAGCTTGGGTCTGCCTTGTATAAAGGACAGTGAAGAGGAGAGAAAGAATGTACTATGGTGATGGAGGATTTCTGTCCCTTACGCTTCAGATTATTGCTTCTCATCTTCCTGGTTCAGCTGGGTAGAAATAGTTTCTTTGGTGATTTACATGCCAACCCTTTCATCACTGCTTCTGTCAAGTCGCTGAGTGGAGATTTCTTGCCGTAGGGCAGGACCGGGAGAGAAAGTGGACATGAGGGAGGAAGCAAAAGAATTTTCCACGTTCTAGGTTGTAGAGCCCTAGAGTTATAACCAGAAAGACAAAGTTGGCATTTTGTTTTGTTTTTGAGTCATTACTGCACATGCTTCTAATGTAGCTCTGCAATTTATACCATTCTCAAAAGCAGGAAGAGGAAAGAAGAAAAAAATTATAAGTCTCACCTAACATAACCATTGTTAGTTACTGTTTCTGTAGAAGGGTATTTTTGCTGTTTTCAGATTTTAGCTCCTTCTGTTACTTCTAGATTATTTATTTCTTGCTTTTTTGAGTGTTTAGTGTTAGTGGGAGATAGACTTAATGGACTTCATCTTGATTATAATCAAAAATGCTGACTTTTTTAATTGATAAGAAATTAGCAGCAACCTTGGAACTTTTTATAACAATTTTTTTCTAGCACATTAGTAGGTAACAATGCAAGGGAAGAAAAGACTATTGAGTTTACTAAAAGTACTTGTGTCTCTTCAACTGCATTATTTTCTACAACCATAGTTCTAATCACCGTGAACTTGTACTCCAGCCAGAGACGCCATCAACATTCCCTCCCACTGTGACTTCCTCCTCTAGCTACCTCTCGTTCTGTATTCCTTTTCATCCAATGGAGCACAGCTCTATTTTTTCCTAAATAGTATAATTGTTTATTTTTACATCATTCTGTGCCTTTTTCCATCTCAGTTGTGATCCCTGTGGGCTTCCCATCACCAAACTACCCAAGCACACTTCATTTTCTACTGACTGGGAAGCTGGGAGTGGTCTGGAGAGGCATTGATCGTCTTCGGGGAGTCCTGCTCTGTGGCCTCTCCAAGAGCAGTAGGGGCGGCGCCGAAACTGCTGATAGCCTGGCCCCCGGGCAGGGGCCTGCCGCAGTCACTGCGTCATTGGGGGGCCGCTGATGGCCCCTCTTGCCACTGGAGTTGCCTGTCGACACTATTTGCATCCCACCAGCCACTCTGCCTGAGCTCTGAACTGTGAGACAAATGGTTTTACTACATAAGCATCTTCCTAGTTTTTGTTGCATCATAGTGTTAGAACTTTGAATGCCCAAGACATTAATATACTGTGAACATTCAGTTATGAGGTGGTAAATTTTCTAATGTGTGACAGATTTCATATTATAATTTTCATTTTGAAAAGTCTTAACCTGTTTTGAAGAATTAAGAGGGCAAAACTAGTCTGTTTTGGTTATTCATTTTTGGTGTTTTTCTTTCACCTGCTGCTTCTCCTTCATCTGGTCTTCCTTGTATGATTTATCTTCACCAGAAAGATTTCCTTTAGAGCATATTTTTTAGAGCCAGTTTGTTGGTGAATTCTCTTATTTCTACTTCATCTGAAAACTATTTCAGATGTTTTCTTCCTTCCTGAAGGGTATTTTTGCTGTTTATAGAATTTTCGGTCAATATTTCGCCTCTGAAAGTGTTCTACTGTTTTATAGTTCTAGCCTCAGTGATGCTGACAAACCCTTAGTCACTTGAATCTCTCTATAAAACCATCTTGTTTTTTAAAAGTTTGTGATACATTTTAGTTGATTTTTCTGAAGGGTGCAACTTATGTATCTACATTAAAATTTTGAATGTGGGTGGCCATTTGTCCCAGGGTTGTTTATTGAAAAGCTTTTATCTTTGCTCCATTGTGTTGCTTCTGTGTTGAACAGAGATCAGTTGACATTATTTATATGGGTCTATTTTAGGCACTCTGTTCTATTAATCTATTGATTGTATTCTTTCACCTGTGTCTTACTGCCTAGATTACTATAGCTGTGTAGAAAGTCTTGAAATTAGATATTCAGAACTATGTTCTTCTCTTTCAATATTATGTTGACTGTTTTGGGTCTTCGCCATATAACTCTCCATGTAAATAAACTTTCTGATCATTTTCCTGATAGAACTTGCTGAAATTTTTTCTTGGGCATTACATTGAATCTGTAGCTCACTCTGGGAAGAATAGACATGTTGACAATATTGATTCTTGTTATACATGAACATGGACTATATGTCCACTTATTTAGTTCTTTGATTTTACTCATAAAGAGTTTTGTAGTTTTTCCCACACAGGTCTTACATTATTTTATTAGGTTTATATCTAAGTGCTTTATTTGGGGCGTATGGTGCTATGGCAAATTGTATTTTTCATTTTATTTAAAATTTTATTAATTGCTGGCATAGAGGGAAGCGGTTAATTTTTTTGTGTTAACCTTGTATCCTGCAGCTCTTATATAATTGTTTATATGGTGCTGGAGATTTATTGTTGCTTCTGGATTTTTTTTATAGATGATTGCCTTATTTGTGAACAAACACCATTTTGTTTTCTCAACCTTCCCAATCTGTGTACCTTTTTTCCTTTTATATGATTGCATTAACTAGAGATTCGTAGGCAGTAGTGAAAGGGAACATCCTGGCCTTGTTCCTGATTCTAGTGGGAAAGATTCAAGTTTCTCACCATTAAGTATGCTGAAGTTTTGGATAGATACTCTTTCTCAAGTTGTGCACTCAACATCTAACTATACTGTACTGAGCACTTTATCATAGCTGAGTGTTGGCTACATTGTTAGTACATTTTCATGTAGCTATGCTTTAAGCTATTTCAAATTTTTCAGTAAATGGATAGTACTTAAAATACAGTTTGGTAGGAGGAATTATGATGTAATGTTAATATTACTATACAAGACAGTGACCTAAGCACAGGTGTGATCCTTCTTTTTCATTCCTAGGTAAATGCTAAACAGAAATTTGCTCACATAGTCTCTGAAGGTTAATATATATTGGAAATTTCATCGAGCATGATTGATAGTACTGTTGCATCTCCCCTGTCCTCCCCAACCCCTGAGAGATATACTCTAAGACCCCGAGTGGATACCAGAAACCATGGAAAGTCTTGGTTTTTACTATGGCATACATGACTTAACAATAGTTCAGTATTATAAAGTATATATAGTAAGAGATTAACAATGATGAAAATAATCAAAGCCATATCCAGTTAGTGAACGTATGGTCACTTTCTCAAAAAATACCTTGCTTTATTTATTTATTATTTATTATTTTTGGACTGCTTTATTTATTTATTATTTATTATTTTTGGACTGCTTTGACCACTGGTAACTGAAATTGTGGATGAGGGTGAACTACTATGTAAAAATCTGGCTAACTACCCAGATGCCCAGTGGAATATTTTGCAGCAAGTGTTATCCATTAGTACACACAGCAATATGAAAAAATCTCATGTATATAACATCAGAACAAAAACCAAGCACAAAAGAATATATTCTGGATGGTTACAGTTTTATGAAGAGCAAATATCTGAGCTGGTAGAAATGAGGGTGGACAGAGGCTAAAAAGTAGTTTCTGTGGTTCATAATTATGTTCTCTCTCTCGATGTAGATGCTAATTACAAAATATATTGGGTTTGTGAAAATAATAAAGGTATTTTTGGTATAAATAATTTTCCTTTTATGTTACACTTCAGTAAAGTTTTTTTTTAAGTAATATCATTAGTTTCAACTAGTCTAAGAAAGTGCAAAGGTTAAAAACTACAATGTACATTTTTTTTTAAAGACAATGTACATTTTATTAGGTTAGTTATGACATGTTTAGAAGTAGGAAAAACATCCTGTTGCTTAGCTGAAATATAAGGTTTTTATTTTGAATGTTTTTCATTTTGAAAGTAAAAAAAAATTATTTTAAGATTTATTTATTTATGCATACAAGAACTGGAGTACAGGCCAGAGGTACGGGGGTGAGAGAATTCACCAGAGACAGAGCAGAGAGCAGAACAGGCAGATTGACTGAAATACACTGCTGAGGGGAGCCACGGTCCGTCAGGAGAGGCCTGCTGCCATGGGTCCCCTCCCTGGCTGGGGATCAAACTCATGCTTCATTGGCTGCTGATAGCTCCACATTGTTGTGTTTTAACCCGACCATTCTTAGTTCAACTAGTATTAAACTTTCCTCTCATAGTAAACAGTGCTTTGAACTTGTTACAAATGCGTTTTCAATGTGTTTTTGGCTTACAGAGCAATCAGTATCATTATATTGTGGCTGTAAAACACATTAAATATCTTTTATTGTTGTTAACTCTAACACAGTGTGACAGGTTTGAAACTCTAAAAAGGACTAAAAAATATTTTTACTGTGTAATTTTGTAAGGGAGAAGATGAGTAAAAAGTATGTTTTTGGTTCATTCTTGCTCTCAGAGGAGAGACTATAAATAGCTGCCATTGTTCTTTCCTCCCTTCTTATCAAGAGAATGTTTTATTTCTGTAGCATAAGAGACCTAATTATGATATAAATATGCCAATCCGTTATTTATATTGTTTTTTAACAGTCAAGTCCATCCTCTCCAGAACCAGCTAGTCTTCCTGCAGAAGATATTAGTACAAACTCCAATGGCCCAAAACCTGCAGAAGTTGTACTAGATGATGACAGAGAAGATCTTTTTGCAGGTAATTACAAATATTTTTTATTTCAGATAGTGGCCACTTGTAGCATATATATACTGTTATATAGAAGATATCTCTAAAGCACAACTGAGACATTGTATATATACTGTCAGTGGCAGCTGGCTAGTCTTGTTAACAATTTACTGAAACATGAGGTTTCCAAGTGGATGACGTTAAGTTTCATTACATGTTTAGGAAAGCAGAAGTGTGATCCTTTCAGGCTTAAATCACTTGAAAATAAATTATACAATTTTTTGCAGTCAGTACTTAGACCCAAAAAAATAATGGCTGTGACATTCAGTACTTTGTAAATAGCAGTGACTTTATTTTTCATTACTTACAAGTTGTCACAAAGCAAAATATAATCTGTCCTAACTTTAAGATAATTCGATTTTCTTCAAAACAGTTTTCTGTTTTAAGTTTAAAATTTAGCTATACATTACTTTTTGGGTATTAAAAAACAAAATGTTAGAATTCATATCACAACAATTAAAGAAAAATCATTGTGTGTTTAATAACTAAACTAAACTGACTTTCACTGAGTAAAATTTAGTGTGTTCTCAGCTTTTAGAGAGGCTGAATATTCAAACTATTCTGTGTTTTTTGGTGGAAATATGTTTGAAGGTAGACACATCACACAGGTCTACATAGTGTCCTGTTTGATTAGTTCCATGAAAACTTTTCACTGAAGATAAGTTAATTGTATTCTATATTCTGTTATATAAAGAAATTAAAAATATGATATGAAATACTAGTGGTATTTTCTTTTGGTTTCTACTTATAATTTACAGCAAAGTCATAGTTAACCAAAGCATTATACTTCTTTTTTTTTTCCTTTCATGGACTTCCTTTCTAGGCTTTTCTTAAAAGTTTTTTTCATGGCATTTATGTTTTAATCTCAGAGGCAACTAGTCCTTCACAAAATTATTAAGTAGGACTAATCTAAAAGTTTGTGTGTATTGCTTTAATTGTATAGGGCCATACATAGAAAGTTGTATTGTACTTTTTTTTTTAAAAAGATTTATTTATTTATGCACACACAACTGGGGTATAGGGCAGAGGTGCAGGGGCGGTGGAAGGATTTACCAGCGACAGAGTGGGGAGTAGGACAGGCAGATCGACAAGGTACACTGCTGAGGGGAACAGCGGGCAGGTCAGGAGAGGTCTGCCGCGCCATGGGGCTCACCTCCTGCCAAACTCCGCTGGAGTGGCTGCAACCAGCTTGCAGTGCTGCGTTTTAACCTTTTGTGCCACCAGGGAGGGCTGGATTGTACTTTTTGATAAGAACTTTCATGTAACAGTATCAGAATTCTCTATAAACGAACATGGTAAAATTTTACTCTAAAAACGATTTTCTTTGTATATCTAAGAAAAGAGGCTTGTTTTGTTTTGTATTGTGTTTCATACTTTGCACAGCTAGCCAGTCAGCTAAGTGAGGACACTGCATTGATTTTGCCCACTATCTGATCATTTTTATAAGAATGAATACTATCTTGCACTTTACAATAGTTATTTAGAAGGTATATCTTCTTTCTGTGGATGTATGGTTCAAGGATATTATCAGGGAAAGTATAGCTTAAGTGGTACCAGAGAAAGTTTTAAGTGTGATGTATATTATTGTCATTATCTGATTTAGAGCTATTATCAAATACAATTGACCACAGAATGCCATTTGTTATATTAGACCTTAACCTTCACTGAATAAGTTTTAGGAAACTGTCCTAGAGGAGTGAGTGTAAGTAAATTGCCAACGCTGAAATTGTCATAGACTTTGAGAATTTATTTTTGTGAAATTCTGTTGTATTTATGCTTTACAGAAAATGGTACCAATTTTTTTTTTAAGATTTATTTATTTGTGCACACGGAACTGGGGTGCAGGCCAGAGGCTCAGGGGCGGTGAGAGGCTTCACCAGAGACAGAGTGGGGAGCAGAACAGGCAGACTGACAAAGTACACTGCTGAGGGGAGCAGTGGGCGGGTCAGGAGAGGTCTGCCACGCATGTGGTCACCTCCGGGGCAGGCAGGAATCAAACTCATGAGGAAGCGGCTCTAGATTCTCTGTGCTGTGCTTTAAGCCGCTGCGCCACCAGGGAGGGCCGAAAATGGTACCAATTTTAACTTTAATGTATATTCCTTTGGTTAACATATTCTGTGGTGTCTTTCGTGTGAGTAATATTTTATTTGGCCAACATCTACATTATACTTGTCCTTAGAGAATCATTTCCAAGTAAAAGTTAATCTTTATACTTAGTACCTATGTTGCATTTTCTCAAGCCATTAGGTGTGGTTTAAATTCACTTTCTGAATTTATAGGATGTGAGGTTACTTTCAGTGAAAGATGTCACGAGAAGAGTCTAAATTTATCATTTCATTTCCCTCCTCTGTATGAGCTAGTTAGATCAGATTTAGCTTTTCTTATTTTGATGTGTTTTATTTATGAAACAGCTTGTCATAGTCCATGCAGAGAACACAAAACTAGTATTAGTGAGATAAAATATAATTGAAAAGTTAAAATGTTCTCCATCTATGCTGACAGTAAGTCACTAAATATTTCATTTTGTCTTTTGGTCAGTTGCCAAAAGAAACAACAGCTCTCTCCAGAAACTTGAGGTTTCTTTTTGTTTTGTTTGCTTCTTGTTTGTAATCTACAGATCTCATGCCTCCTGATTTGATACACTGCTTTCTTTCTTACATTGTTCTTTGGTTTCATTTTTTTGTAAGTAGAATAAGTATTACCAACCTTAATAGTCAAAAGTTGCATGCCACCTTCTAATTTAGTAGGGTTATACATTTAACATCTGTAGTTTATTTTCCTTTTACCATAGTTGGAAAGATTTTGGCTCATAATAAGATTCTTATCAACAAATAAGATTCTTATCAATAGGAGATAACCAGAAAGAGTAGCTTGATAAATCCTTATTTCAAATAAAGGTGTAGATGTCTGTATTTTTTTCAGGCATTAAATTTAAAATGGCTCACTGATTCTCATTACTACCTTCCCAAGTCTTCCTAGTCTTCTAGGAATTTAAGACTATCAGGTTAGAAACCACTGGTCTGATTCCCCTATAATCTTTTGTGCCTTATCTTGCTATCAGTTTTATAAACCAGCAGAACTGTTACGATTGTGGCCATAATTCCACTCCTAGGTTATCTTTTTGGTTACATTATTATTCCATTTCGTAGCGTTCTCCCTCCATGTTCTTGACTCATTCAAATCTTCTCAAATTGATTTCACAAACTGCTCATGATTTTCCCCAGCCTAAGTGCAAATTAGTGCTTGTGTTATATAGTTCAGACAACAATTAAATGTCTTATTATCTTTGTCTTATTGTTCTTTTGGCTTTATTTGTCTCTTCATTCCACAAGCTTATGTCTTGTTTTCCCAACTAGATTTTAAACTCCCTGAGGGTAGGTATGATATTTTACATTTCTTTGTGTTTTTCCATTGCATTTAGCACAATGTTCCATAGCTTGCAGACAGATTATTGATTTAATTTGGTTTTAAATATATTTAATTTTAGATCTTTTAAATGATTGACCATTTTAAATTGAAACCCAAAGACCTATTTACTTTTGTGTCGTATTTGTGTATTCAACTAATATCCAGTGATCTTTGGCACTTAATTACTTTAGATCACTAACTGGATTTTCCATAACAAATTTTTAATCCCAGCTGAGATAGTTATGGCAATCTTCTGTCATAAAATTTGTATTTGTATGTATAATTAATGTTAGGTTAAAGAAGAGATTTGCCACAAGTAATCCAAGTCCAAATACAAATTACTGTGGAATTTGTCTACATCATTGCTTCACTAGCTTTATCCCTATCAGTAGTATATATCATTAAGCATATTGACTAGAATTCTTCCTTAAGTCAACAAACTTATTGTTAATTTTAAAGTTTTGATAAGCAAATAAGGAAGGATTCATAAAATTGTAACAACTTTTTAAATAACATTTTAATATTTATGGATAGTATGAAACATTTTTCATAGTATATTAGCTGCTGTATAGAGTATGGAGGCTTGCTGATAAAGTTCTATAACTAATTTACCTTATTTGTGTCTAGAAGCCACAGAAGAAGTTTCTTTGGACAGTCCAGAAAGGGAACCAGTCCTTTCCTCAGATCCTTCTCCTGCAGTCACGCCTGTGACCCCCACTACACTCATTGCTCCCAGAATTGAATCAAAAAGCATGTCTGCTCCTGTCATCTTTGATAGATCCAGAGAGGAGGTATGGGAAAATGTCTATGTTATACTCTGATATGTAGGTTGTAAGGTTTTCTTGAGTGACATCAGTCTCCTTTTCGTCATTTCAGTAAGTCTTTTAGACATTTTGGAAAAGCAACATTGTCTTAAAAGAAGTCGGTGATCTGACTTACAGCTTTGCGTTCAGGTCTTAGTAGTTTGAGCACATCGTTACCTTCTTAAGTCAATTGTCATTTGTGATCTTCTGATGATGTTATGTACCTTCAGAGTTCCATGTGGTCAAGTAAGAATGCATGAAAGTGATATTTTGAGTAATGCATTTGATGGAAGTGTGCAGTAACATTAGAGATTTTGTTGGCAAAGTAACAGAGGGGTTGTGGCTAGAGAAAGAGGGGGGCTTTGGAGTATGTGAGGATGTTGTTTCTTAATCAAAATTTAGATGCAAAAATGTCCTTACTTTGTTAAATTTATGGAGATGTGTATTCAGGATTTACATGTTTATGTTTGTTACAGCTCAGATAAAGTTTACTTTAACAAAACATGCACCATAAGAAGGTAATCGCTAGGGAAAAAAACCACTTTTTTGTTCATCTTAGATTATTAATACTGTTGAAAATGTGCTAGATTTAACAGTATTTTCTTCTTGAGAACAATGAACTTTCCTGTAAAGCTGTTATTTTGAATGTTTGTTTATAATGGGATTAAAAAACACATCTCTGTTCTCCTTATTGCCTTTTTTTCCCAGTATGCTTTATAGTCCTTTCATTGACTTTAAGATACAGAGAAGTCATAATAAATTTCCTCGTATAATAATTTCTGTAGGTATGTTGGATTCTGCTCATGTAAGATTAGTAAAGAACAGAGACACAACTTTGAAAAATGCTGATAGTAAAAATAATTAAGGAATTAGTAGAATAAAAAAATTTTACATTTATACAGAAGACTAAAGATTTAGACAATGTTTTCTGGGTTTGAAGAGTTGTAAGAACACCAGATTTTCTGTTCTTTCTGTGTAAATGATTGCACATTTACATACTTAGGAAATGTGGAAACTTTGTAAGAAATGGAGTACTGAATGGTTTGTAAAATTGACAGTGACTCTAAAAAATAAGGTGGAAAATTTAAGTTATAAACTCATTGTTTTTTAAAAAGTTAATAGTTATTATTATCAGTAGTATAAATTGAAGTCTTTTAACACCAAAAAAAAAAAAATTTCCTTTCTAGATTGAAGAAGAAGCAAATGGAGACATGTTTGATATAGAAATTGGTGTATCAGATCCAGAGAAAGTTGGTGAGTCAGTATTTATTTTGTTTTGTACTTGATTTTTGATTGTTGGTGTGCTGTTTTTCTTTACTAAGTGTATTATTACATTATTGGGATGATACCTTTATTTTCAAATTTCTGAGGGAGAGATCGTTTCTTATTTTGTGCAACCCCCACCTTTATTGATTTCTCAAGGAAATGATTAAAACAATCAAGTTTATCAGCATATCATCTCACAGTTATCCTCCCGTGTGTGTGTGTGTGTGTGTGTGTGTGTGTGTGTGTGTGAAGTTGTATGGCTTTTAATAGTATTATTTTTCATTTCTTATAGGTGATGGCATGAATGCTTATATGGCATACAGAGTAACAACAAAGGTACGTGCTTTGTTCCTTTATAAATGTATGTGTGGTGTGAAGCTACAGTGATGAGTAAGTTGTAAGTTATCCCTGCATTTCAAAGGATTTCAAATGAGGATTGCAACTAAGTAGTTACAATGAGTTGTGTGTGGTTTTTGGTAGGTATTCAATGAGAGTATGGAAGAAGGGAGCTAAATTAGACCCCAGAGGTCAGAAAAGCCTCTCATGGGGAAGTGATATATGAGCAGAGACCTAGAGGTAGGAGTGATTGGTGGGAGAGAGGAAAACTGAAAGAATATGAAGAGTGTTTGTTGCAGACAAATGTATCTACTTGTATAAAGCTAGAATCAATCATGCATTATGCTTTCTAGGATCTACAAGAAGTGGTGCCTCATCGAAATGTTTGGCAATAAACTTCTGTGTATTATGACCAGCCACCGCATTAAGAAATTTAGGTTTTATCCTACATATAAGACAAAGTCATTGATGATGTTCAGACATGAGTGTTTTCTTAATTAGATTTTTATTTTCAAAAGATCTCTCTGTGCTTAGGATGAATTGGGAGAGTAAAAGTAGAGGGAAGATTTGCACTTAAGACGATAATGCAGTTCTTAAAGGATTGTAGGCCTTCAAGTCTTGGAAGACAGACAGAGCATCTGCAGCAGTGAGAAGTGATACTTTATATTAAGGAATAGTACTACAGCTGAACAAAAGAAATGGTTTCTTGAGTTGTATAAGAGATACAGTCAGTAAGGCTATGTGAAGGAGTGAAGAGGGAAGGATGCTAAAGCTGTGGTTGTCAGAGTAACCCCAGAGAAAAGACAACACAAGGGGAGTGAGTCACAGTGTGGATGGAATGAGGCTTGTTAACTCACTGAACAGGTGTTTATTGAACAGGCTCTTCAGGTGATGGGGATAGTAGGAAACGGTAAGACAAGTATTCATCTCTCATGAAAGTAATGTTCAGTTGGGAAAACATGGGGAATTTCAGGTTGTAATAAGATGAAAGTGGAAGTATCTTAGGATATTTCAATATATTTGGCTAAAACTTAGGGGAAATCTGGGCCAAGGGTAAAGATTTGAGAGTTATTGGTATAAATGTAAGTGGTCTGTAAAATGAGTAAAGGATAGAAGTGTCTGTAAAATAAAAATCAGTGATTAAGGGGTTCTTTTAGTTCTAAAAATTATGCATCTCATTAGTCAGCTACTCTGCATTCTTCTGTAGAATTGTGTGTGTGATCACAGTTATATATAACATCATTATTATCTAGTATTCAAACTTTGAAATAATTCTTCCCTTCTAGACATCTCTTTCAATGTTCAGTAAGAGTGAATTTTCAGTAAAAAGAAGATTCAGTGACTTTCTCGGTTTGCATAGCAAGTTAGCAAGCAAATATTTGCATGTTGGTTATATTGTACCACCAGCTCCGGAAAAGAGTATAGTAGGTAAGTATGAATGAAAAAGTAATTAATTTTTGTGCTTGTTACTAGTTCATTTTTAACTATAGGTTGGTGGGTTCCACAGTTATGCACTAGCCTCAATGTCTAGAGGTACTAAATTTAAAATTGGATTTATGACAGTCACTCACCAACTGGAAAATGTATAGCTAATGATTTTGACTTCTAAAGTACAGTGATGTTAAGTATTGGTTCAGAAATTGACAAGATGAAAGCAATGGCAAATCCTAAGCTTTGAAGTCATTATTGCACCATATTACTGATTCATAGCTGATACTCATCATCATTATTTTTACTTTTTAAATATTTGTTATGAAAAGCAGTTTCCCAAAAACAAAAGGCTCAGGACCAAAAAGCTTTTTTACACATGAACTTTAACAGATCTTTAAAGAATAACTAAGCCCATCTTTGGTCAAAGTGTTTTTAAAAATAAGAGAATGTAGGATGCTCCTTAATTTATTTTATTTTGCCAATATTACCTTAATGCCAAATGCAAATAAAACACAAGGAAAATTACAGCATGCTATCTCTGGTGAACATCAGTACAAAAAGGATCTACAAAGTATGAGCTAATAGAATTCAACAGTGTGACACAAGGATTATACAGCATGATCAAATGAGGTTTATTCTCAGGATGTAAGAATGGGCGACCATACAGTCAGCACCAACATCAGTAAAGGCCTATCTCCTGCAGTATCAGTAGATGCAGAGAAAGTATTTGATGGGATTCAGCATCATTTATGATAAATACCCTAAAATGGGAATAGTAGGACTCTGCCTCAATACAGTAAAAGCCAGTTATCCCAGACCAATAGTCAAAACAGTACTTAATATTGACATATGAAAGCTTTCCCCTGAATGATAAGGCAAAGGTTCCCATTGCCATCACTTCTGCTTAACTTAGAGGTTTTGGCCAAAGCTATCAGACAGAAACTGAATATAAGGGAAATCCAAGTTGGAAAGGAAATGAAACTGTCAGTATTTGCAGATGATTTTATATATAGAAAATCCTAAAGCATCCACCAAAGGGTTACTCAAAACATAGTAACAGGCTACAGGATCAACATACAAAAATCTTTTTAATGCTAATATACAAATAATGAACAATACACAAGAGAAATCAAGAAAAGAACTCCATTTATTAGTGCTTTGAAGAAAATTAAATACCTTGGAATAAACCTTTGAATGGGGTGAAGGACTTAAGCAATGTGAAGCCCAAGATGCTGTTTAATTGACTTAAGTAGCAATATACAGAGATAAAGGACATCCCACGCTCAGCTCAGTCAAATCACGGTAAGTCTTGCCTAAAATGGTATTATAATTTTAATACTGCACCCATCAAAATGTCAGTGCTATTTCTTAAAGAAATTTAACACAAAATACTAAAATGGAACCACAAAAGTCCCCAAATTGCAAAGCAATTGAGAAAAATTAAGGGAGCTAGCACTTTGTGTGACTTCATATTTTACTGAAAGTGTCATTTCTAAAAAAGGGTATTGGTTCAAAAATTGATACATAGATCAGTGGAATAGTAACATGAACAGAAGCTCCTTGAGTTACAACTTTTTCAGGGAAACAGAATATGTGAAATAATAAATGCACATCCCACATTTAGTATTTCATTCAAGGTCAGTACTTTTCTTTTTCAAATGTTACATTTCAGAGAACTCTTATTAAAGAAAATATTAATGAATGATATATATTTATCCAATGTACCGACTTGATTTTATATTATCCGTTTGTAATGACTTCTTTGAGATAATTTATATGCCACAGTTTATCCATTTAAAATGTTTTTAGTTTATTTAAAATTGTGCATATATCACAGTTTTAGAACATTTTTATTTCTCCTTAACTACCATCCTTTAATGTGCCTCTTCCAGCTCTAGTTAATTATTAATTTTTCTTTCTGGGCACTTGTAGAAAAGCCATCATAATATGTGGTCCTTTTGATAAGTTTCTTTCATGTACTGTAAGACTTTCAAGGCTCATCCGTGCTGTAGTGTGTGTCCCTATTTTGTTTCTACAGTCCGTTTTTGAAAGGAAAAGAATAAATAAAAAGAAAATCTGCATTCTATATTAGTTGTAAAATTGAAATCGCCAATGTAGAAATTACTAGCATGATAAAGAGTTCTAAATGTTTCAGTGAAAGACTTTGTTATTTCAGCTGTTGTAAAACCAAAAATAAAAAATAAGCCAGAACACGTTCTTAGAATCTCAAGCAGGAACATTTAGCAAATTTATGGATTGCATTTAGTTTTTTTCCTAGTCCCTTATTGAAAAGAGCATAGTTATTATTTATAAGAAACTGGAAATACTGAGCTGAAATTTACTAATTTGAAATTCTGTTATGCATGTTGGAATGCAAGCATACTTTAATATAAATAAGAGTATAATATACACAGATTAAGTACAGAAATAGTTATAGATCAGAAAACTGTAAATATAGCTCAACCTCTGCTTTATTTCTCTGGTGTTATAAAAACTTAAATTAAAAATGTTAATTATGGATTTTAATTTAATTTCAAATATATGAAATAAGTAAATCTAAGAGCTCTTCTGCAAAGTTCAAATTTAAAATATATTTGTAAATTATACAGAAATGACTATAAAAGACTGTTTCTTAGTAATACCAAGACTATTGTGCATTTGTTTCAAAGGCATGACCAAGGTCAAAGTGGGTAAAGAAGATTCATCATCCACTGAATTTGTAGAAAAACGTAGAGCAGCTCTTGAAAGGTTAGTCTGACTGTTGTGCCTTATTATTCGTGTTTTTACTTCAGTCTTTAATTCACAAGTCTAATCTCAATTATATTTCTGAACTATATATATATATATATATTTTAAAGATTTATTTATTTATTTGTACAGAACTGGGGTACAGGGTAGAGATGCGGAGGGTGAGAGAATTCACCAGAGACAGAGCGGGGAGCAGAACAGGCAGATCGACGAAGTACACTGCTGAGGGGAGCAGCGGGCGGGTCAGGAGAGGTCTGCCACTCCATGTGGTCACCTCCGGGGCAGGCGGGAATCAAACCCATGTGGAAGTGGCTTTAGCTTCTTAGTGCTGTGCTTTAACCCGCTGCGCCACCAGGGAGGGCCCTCTGAACTATATTTTAATGGTGATTTTTTTTTTTTTTTAAGTACCACTTAAACTTTTATTAAGTTTATTGTTTCCTTTTACCAACATAATGCTGGGTACTTACCAGCGTAATACTGGGTACTTATTTTGTTTTTATTACTACTCTTTTAACAGTCTGGCTAATAGAATAGCAGTTATTTTTTGTATCATGTGAAAATTGAGTTAGTTGGAGATAGAATTATTGGAGATAGAATTATTACTATAGTCAGGTTAGCTAGAGAAGCAAGAACCTGCCAAGCTTATAAAAAAGAAAACATGAAACTTCAGAATGTGAGGGGAAAGAGATAATTTAAGTCTTTGGCTACTTCTTGGGCAGTATACCCATAGTCGTGTATTGTATTATGATTGGCTATAACTTACCTACACTAATTATCCTTTTGAATTATTATTTCGTGAGAGTAGTATTACATTCAGTGCAAAATTAGTTTTGTGCTCCCTCCTTTAATTTTGTGTAATTGACTTTGACTTGATTGTACAAGAGTATTAGTCATTCTTTGAGTTTACTGTGCATTTAAAGGCTAATATAAATGCTCCACAGCCTTTAGAGTACTTGACATATAGCTTTGAAAACTTGTCTTTGTTGTCAGACTAAAAGGAAGAAGGCATGGAAGGAATTCACTGTCAGAATCTTAACATTTATTCCTTCCTTGTTATTCTGAAAATGTGAGAAAATAAAATTGAAGCTACTTGAAAGCCCACCTTTTAGAAGCTAAGTTACCCAGTCTCATTAGAATTTTATAGGGTTTTTGTTATTTTGTGAGCTTAATTTAATTTGCATTTATTGCTTTTGTTTTCATTTTTGGCTTAAAATCTGTGAGCCCCAATTGGTAGGACAGATTTTAGAAAGTAGTTGTGTACGTCCAGGGTACAAATGATTTTTGAAACTGTTTTTAAGGCAACTTATTTTATAGTTTTAGTAATAGGTTGTTTTAGTTTTAAGTAAATGCCACAATAAAGTCAGCTTTAAACAGTTTGCTATAAGAAAGCTAGAGAATCTGCAATTATAATCTTGTATTGAAAAAACTTAAAAGATGAGACTATGTTGGTAATAATCAGCAGTTACTCAAGAAACAGATTTAAACTGCATCAAGAGAAGTTTAGGTTAGTCATTAGATTTGATTCTGCCATGAAGGAGGTCATACACTGAATATTTTTAAGAGTAAAGGTAGATAATGCTCTTTCTTCGTTTAGCTTAGTCCTTTCTGAAAGTGTGACCATGACCCTTTGAGAGACCTTTCAAGTCCTATTTTTCTATGAGTAAATTTGAAATATTTCAGATGGCATGCTTGATAAGGACCTTAATGAAGATTTATTGTACCGAGAACATATAATTTGATTCTACTTTCCCCGTTCTTCTAACTTGAATGCATTGCATAGTACTTACCATAGCTCCATGCAGTAAAACATTGAGAAGCAAGGAGCATTTTAAGGTACGCTGAAACTTAACCTCATGCATGTATAAAGACTATTTCTTTACAATAAATATTATTGGTTAATGCTACATTAGTGGAATTTGCAATAGTGGGAATAAAAGGAACTATATAACACAAGGACAAAGTTCATTTTGCATTTGAAAGATGACTATAGAAAATACAGGCCTAATGGAATAAAAACAAAGGAACTAGAATGATTTTTATATAGTGATTTTTCTGTGGTATTTTCTAAAATTTAAAGACTAGCACAAACACACTTGAGGGATACCCAGCCCACTTGAGTCTGGTGGGTCAAGGACACTGTTTGTAGGATACTATGCTACTTATCTACCTATTATTTGTTCAAATTAAAGAATTCAGATGACTATCTTAGATGAAAGAATAAATGTCTGATACTTAAATATAGGAAGAGGAAGGGAGTGGTTGAGAACCCAGCACCCTGTGCCACATTTAAAGTTAGCAGAAACTACTTCTAATTAAAAGTAGCCCTAGGATGCTTGTATGGTTTTTCTGGAGAGAATAAGGACACATTTCTGCAGTTACAAACTGAGAAAGAGAGTAGGTAATACTGTGGTAGGGATTTACAGTACCTATTCTTTTGACGTGTGCATCCCACTATATGCTACACATTTATCTGAATGACCTTGAATTTAAGTTCATTCTTTAACTGTAAAATATTATGTAGATCAGTTAGGATTGTGTTCATTGTAAACACCTAAACAAGGCCTAAGGAGTTATGTAGACCAACTAGTCCATTCTTTCATATCAGAAAGTTTGAATTAACTATATTGCTTCCCAACTGGTCTCCTAATTTTCATACTTGCATCTATACTTTTTAAAAAAATTTATATATGTATATAGAACTGGGGTACAGGCCAGAGATGCAGGGGTGGTGAGAAGGTTCGCCAGAGAGTGTAGGGAGCAGGACAGGCAGATTGACAAAGTACACTGCTGAGGGGAGCAGTGGCGAAACAGAAGTCTACCACACCATGTGGGTCACCTCCCTGTTCGGGGATTGAACTCATGCTGCAGTGGTTGCTAGCTTCATAATGCTGTGCTTTAACTCATTGCGCTGCCAAGGAGGGCCCTATACTTTTTATTTAATAGGCAGTCAGAATCTCCTTTAAAACTTAAATTAGAACAGCAGATTATATCCAACTTTTCTTTGGTTTCACTCAACGAAGCTAGTCCTTATAATTCCCTACAACCTTCTGTGAGGTGCATTGCTCACTGTTGCACCCGTTTGTTCTCCTGTCCTGATAGCTCTGCTGTAGGCCGCACTGACTTTTTTTTTCCCTGTTTCTCAAAGATCCCAGGCATCTTCCCCACTCAAGGTTGTTTCATTGGCCATTCTCACTGCCTTAAAAAACTTTGCTACTAGGCATCTCCATGACTAACTCCTTTGCCTCTTTTGAATACTTATTTGAAGTTCAAGTGTTCAAATGTTACCTTTTTAGTGAAGCTTATTCTGATACACCACGACCCACACTTTCTTCATTTCAGCCCACTTCCTCTACTCTTTACTTTGTCCACAGCATTTGTCACCTTATCAGTTAACTGCATAATTATTTGTATTATGTTACTAGTTTGTTTTCTATCTTATCTTACTAAAATACAAGCTCTAGTAAGGAAGGGATCTTATTCTCTTGCTCACTGATAAATTCTGAGCACCCATAACAGTACCTGATATTTTATTAACACACCATAAATATTTGTTAAATCAACAAATGAATGTCATCAAAAACCCAACCTTTTCTCCTTTTTTGCATGTGCTTGAATTTCAAGCAAGACATTTTTTCTTTTTCAGATTTATTTATTTATGATTTAGAACTAGAGTATAGGCCAGAGGTGTAGGGACAGTGAGAGAGTGGAGAGCAGAACAGGCAGATTGACAAAGTACACTGCTGAGAGGAGTAGCTGGCGCGAGACAAGAGAGGTCTGCTGCGCCATGTGGGTCACCTCCAGGCCTGGGTTTCGAACTCATGGTGAAGTGGCTGTGGCTAGCTTGCAGTGCTACATCCTAACCTGTTGGTTTAACTTTGTTTCTTTGAAGTATTTTATATAAACTGCTTTACTTTATTTCATTTTTGTTAAGTTATACGGAACTGTAAAGCCTGAGTCTTCTAAATTTATCCTGCAGGTAGATCCCAGGAACAATCACTGACGATCTCTTGTTGATGACCCTCTTGTTGAGCGTGATACTTCTTCACTTTTTGACAGTTCCATCGCATCTTCCACTTCTTTCTTCCTTCAGTGTTTCTGACCGTCCTTGCATGGCTTTTCACGTCCTACATTTTTTTGTTGTTGTTCTGTATCCTTCTTTGATATCTGTAATCCTTTCTGACCTTAATTCTGAATCGGTATCTATTACAAATATTAATTAAGTTACAGTCCATTTAAAGTTTCTACTCTTAATTTTAACATCATATGAGCTTAGTATGTCTAGTTGCTGTCTATTTCCATATAACCCTTAAAAAGAGAAAAAATTTTACTTTTTTTCTAGTCTGTCATTCCCCAAAATTGATTATTCAGATTGCTACTCTTTTGTAAACAGAAATAGAGTAAAAGTATACTTACTGTGAGGTAAAAATATTGCAGTTGATACAACACTACATGTAATTGTGTTAGGATGAAAAAAAGAAAATCTGTATAATCAGTTGAGTTTTATTGATAGAAAATTTAACAGTTAAGCCTGGTCAAAACCAAATTTACCATCTGCAGAACTTCTTTAAGTACTTCATATGTTTATGGTTATTATCAAATATCCATTTAAACAAATATTTGTATAATACTTTTCCAGCTTTCTTGATTGTAGGGCCAATCTTTTCATGGAATATTGCATGAGTCTAGTATTCTGCTAACACACTTTGGGAAGCTCTTGTAGAATAAAAGTAGTATTAAATATGTCCTTTTGGTTTGAGATATTAAAATCTTTCTTAAAGATTGGGTACTAGATGTTTGATTTTTCTCCCTGCTTGCTCATTTACATATGGCTGAGTGCTTGCTGCTTACCATTGTTAATGCATGGAAATACACAACTTTTGTAAACTGGAGCAGTATGTAGTCTAAACAATGAATTAACTTACCTGCTAGAACTGGGGAACTTGTGAGTTAAAAATTTTAAGACTCCTTTGAAGAAAGAATAACATTTCATAAACTTAGAGGATTACTATTCTTACTGCATCTAATTTTTAGCTAGATAATAAAGCAGGAAATACAGGTAGTGTAGATTGTTTTGTTGGTAACACACACTTTATTTCTGTTACAGTAGCTTATGTGGACTAGTGAATTAAAAGGAATTTTAATATGTTATATGTTTTATTTAAATATACAAATGTTAACATTAAGCAGCAATATAATATTGGTTTTTATTGTTTTCCTCTACTCTTTACTTTTCCCCACAGCATTTGTCACCTTATCAGTTAACTACACAGTTATTTGTATTATGTTACTAGTTTGCTTCTTATCCTTTTAGAGAATATTACCACTTTTCAGAAACTTTCAGTTATATTTTATAATCTTGTAAAAAATATAAGAACATAGTGTCTGCATTTATTCTGTAGGAATAGATTACAGGTATACTAATTGTGAGATATAACGTATTATATTTGGTATATCACTGCATATGCTCATTAATCTGAGGAAAATTAGCAATTATAAAAATGGTATTAGTAATCAGTAATCATCAAAATAGTTGGACCTGTCTTCTTTGTATGAAGGAATGATAATTTATTCTGAATGATGGGGTTATATAGTAAAGGGAAATAACTACAATTGGGTTAAATGATTTAATAATGATGTTTCTTTTTTTGTTTTATTTTATGTGCTGTCATATAAGGAAGATATTTATCAAACATACTAACTATTAAAAATTGAAATATTGAAATAAAAGGAAAAGCTGATTCCATAATTTAAATCTACTAAAAAGGAAAAAATTGCTAGGCTGTTTTTCAGTTTGGAAATAGCAGTGCAGTGATAAAAATAATTGACTCCAACATATGTAGTAAAGGGGAATGTGTTGACTCCACCCAGTAGTAAAGTCTTCTGACTCCTGACACAGCTCTTAATGCTTGCAGTGTGAAGTTGGCAGGTTGCTTAGTCCCTCCTCTCTCTCTTGTGTGCACCCTCATTTCTTTTGTCTGGTCGTGAGTTTTCAAAAGGTGAACAAAAAGCTTTTTAATCATTAATTTGCTCTAAGATTCTACATAGAAAGGAGGTAGACTGAGGATACGTTTTTACTTTTTACTAAGGATACCTTTTTACTATTATTCTTTTGTTAAAATAATAGTTAAAGTTAGATATTGATTAATAAAAGAGCAATTTTAATCTTAAACCTAGGTATCTTCAAAGAACAGTAAAGCATCCAACTTTGCTACAGGATCCTGATTTAAGGCAGTTCTTGGAAAGTTCAGAGGTATTATGTCTACTTTAAATTTTTTGAAAAGTCCTCATTTATGTTAGTGAATAATTTGTATGTAATTGTCAGTAAATAACTAGGTCAATAGATGGAATAAGCCGCGATTTCTTTTCTGCTTGGTGCTATAATTAATTCGTTGATTAAATTACCAACAAAATATCCTCTTTGCATTGATAAGTATAGGATGTTTGCAGACTTTAAACTGGTTTTAAAAAGAACAACATATAGTATAATTCTAAAATCTCTAAGTTGTTGCTTAGGCAAGTTGAAATTAAGTTTATTTAGACCTTTTTATAGAGATAGTTGAAAGTTTGTGTGTCTGCATTCTAACATTTAAGGTTTTGAAATGCAAATTTGTGACTATGAAAGAGCTTAAATTTAACCATACTGCTCTTTATATTTGATGTTTGGCATATTTTAGGTTCTTAAGAGTTTAAAATTCTATTTGTTAGAGATTTTTTATATTTGCTTGAATTCTAGATGACAAAAATCTCAAATAACATACCTAAGTGAGTATAAGGGAAATTTTTTCTCAAGCTTCTCTTCCCTTACAAGCAGCTTATTTCTGCTAGCAAACAGGTGGCCAGTGTTTTAGGTGCCTGGCAATTTCTTAATATATTTTGACAAAGAGTGTGTTGTTCCATCTAAATGTAAACATGCAGAAGAAAAGCAAATGGAAAGTCTATTTTTTAAGTTTTCCTTTGAGAATGTACAAGTAGTGTATTTGAGAAATTAGATTTCACTATTGAAATGTATGAGAGTGAGGAAAATACAACCTCCTTTTTTCCTTTCCTTTTTCTTTTCTTCTTATTCTTTTTTTTTTTCCCTTGGTGGGGAGGGCAGACCCTTTTGTGCCCTGTTAAATCTCCAGGCTTTTAACCGGTTTGTTTGCCCTTATTTGTCATTCAATTCCAGCTGCCTAGAGCAGTTAACACACAGGCTCTGAGTGGAGCAGGAATATTGAGGATGGTGAACAAGGCTGCCGACGCTGTCAACAAAATGACAATCAAGATGAATGAATCGGATGCAGTAAGAGCTGATTTTTCGACTTGAATAATGAGATGAATTAATGAGCCCAACAATTGCATTTTAAAGCTGTACAAGTAGAAAATAGGATATTAATTTGCTTATTGAGTTCAGTTCCCTGCCACATCAGTTGACCACCATGGTTATACATGGTTAATTTGTTGCTTTAAAACAAGGAATGTAGTTTGCTATTGGTAACCTAATTTACAATGGCTTTTTCTGGCTAAATTAGCTCCATTTTTCATTTTTTTTTCTCAGTGGTTTGAAGAAAAGCAACAGCAATTTGAAAATCTGGATCAGCAACTTAGGAAACTTCATGCCAGTGTTGAAGCCTTGGTCTGTCATAGAAAAGGTTTGTTTGCCTTGTTTATGTGTTTGACATTGTGTGTCGATTCGAATATTTTGTTCACATTTTATTGAAAGTCAGTATTCTGAAGATATTCTAAGACTGAAAACAATAGTTTGAGGATAGTTTCTTTTTAAACTTTGTTATTTTATATATTTTTATTACTTTAATACGGATTTAGAAGTAGAAACGTTTCAGGTCCATAAAAGCATTTTTAAATTTTGGATCAAAGCTGTTCTCTTAACTCTGTTAAACATATATCCAATGGAATGAATGAAGATGTCTTACTAGTCTAGTAACTGACTAGAATTAAAAAAATATGATATTAAAAATTGATATTTGAAATTCCTTTAAAATACTTGTTTAAATATTTCCTGGAAAATTCTGAAATGTTTTCTTTGTCTTTGAACCAAAGTATTTAAAATCTGAAGGTTTTTTTTTTTTTTTCCGTTAAAGATTCGTAGAAAAATTAGTCATAATTTTTTTAATTCCATGGTGACAGTTTTGTTTTTTGTTTTTTTTTTTTTAAAGAATTCAAGGCATTTCATACTGGCTTTCTTAAAACCTCAATAAGTAATTTAGAATATGCCTTTAACAACACCTTTTTAAAAAATAATTATAGAAATCTAACACATTTATTAAAAATAGCCTATAACAGCATTTGCATTTGTATTGTATCTTTTAAGAAACAGCTTTAAGGTTCTTTTAGAGAAAAGAGAAATTTTTAGCTCAATAGAACAGTTTACAGGCAATGAAATCCTTAGTCATTGACAATACCCTGCCTAAAAATACTGTTTTTCCTCATTTGAACTATCAGAAATGATGGCATACAAAAATACTTTTAAACATTCTTAATATTTAGTAAACACTGTTGTTGCAAAATAAAGGAAAAGTAAACTATGTGTATAATTTCCCTTGCTTTTCTCCTATTGGCTAAATAGTATACTCATTAAAAAGTAGACATTATTTTCAATGGTAACTAAATATTTAAAAGTCAAAGAATGTAGTGTAAGTCATTTTTAAGTGTTCCCAAATGCTAAATTTTTTTTTTTTTTAAGTTTTTTTAGGGACAGAAAGAGTGAGTACTTTTGGGGCAAGAGTGGAGGCATATAATTATTTTAAATTAAATATAGTTCTTTCCTTGGGAATAGAGGCCCTGGTTCTTCTTACTTTTCAGTAGAGCTCTAAGCAGTTGACTTTTACACCCAAGGTGTTTTATTTTAATCACTGTTTATGTTAATTTTAATCACTGGCTTTATGTTAATGATTTTAAAATACTATTTGAGCAATTTATGAACAGATAAAATTTAGAGAGAAGATAGAAAATCAATGCAGTATGTTAGAACTTTACTAGTGAACACTAAAAGTGAATACTTTTTTATTTCAGAACTTTCAGCCAACACAGCTGCCTTTGCTAAAAGTGCTGCCATGTTAGGGAACTCAGAGGACCATACTGCTTTATCTAGAGCTTTGTCTCAGCTTGCAGAGGTTGAGGAGAAGATAGACCAGTTACATCAAGAACAAGCTTTCGCTGACTTTTATATGTTTTCAGAACTGCTTAGTGACTACATTCGTCTTATTGCTGCAGTGAAAGTAAGCCGTATTTCGCAATCTTCCTTAAATTCTTATTTCAGTGGTTTGCTTACAAGAAGAATTTGGTTTCCTATTAGGCATATGTTTAACTGTAAATTCCATACTATTATAGCACATAAATAAAATGTCTTCAACGTGATTATTCATAGATTAATATTTTCTTCCCCTATGATTTGGATAGCACAATAGATAGGATTGGTGCTTTTAAGAATTTTAAGGAAAGCCAAAGATCATACCAAAACATATTTACATAAACGAGTTTGCAGCTAACTGATAGCATTTATTTGCTCATTCTAGCACAAACTGAAACTACCCACTAGACTGTTAGCATTAAGTAAAGCCGTGACAGGAATCAGGACAAAACCAGAACTGACAGCTGCCTGAATATATTTAATGGTGATTTTAACATGGATTTGGACTTTGAATAAACATTCTGTGAATATACTGAAATGTGTAGTCACCATCCATTTAAAGATGAGATAGGACAAGGTTAAATAGCAATTTGTGTTATACAGTGATAATGTTCAAAAATAAACTGTCTTTAGTTAGGACTATAAAACAATTAACTAATGAAAATTAGTCTTGTACAGATATGTCCAATATTCAGACAACTAATCTGAACTGAGCATTAGTTTGTCTGTCACATTTCAGAAGTAACTTTAAGACCATACTATGCTTGTGAGTTACTTAGAGTTGTGGAGAATAATTTTATCATGGATGGAGGGAACTGGGAATATACCTTATCCTTTGAATTCAGATATCTACAAAGTTAATGACACCGTGTTCCTTGTTTTGTTTTGCGAAGATTTTTCAGCAGAAGTCAGTGATCCAGTTAACAATCAACAACAATCAACACGGATACAGTGCATATTTATTGATGTTCTCAAGCTAGTAGTTCCAGTTAAGACAAGAGAATTCTTAGTACTTCAGAATGGCACTTTCTTAGGGTTCATAAAATGGTCAGTTTGTTTGTGTTACTTTCAGGTGTTACTCTTTGTATCCGTGGTGATTAATATTCCTTTTAAGTTATTTAAAGATGTTGATATAGGTGGCAGCTGTCAGAATAATCTTAATTACATAGAAGCTACTTATGATAAATAGAAATATAGTTTACACATAGTGGTTCCTATTTATCTTCCACATATTTTCACCCCACTTCTGCGCTCCCACTAGTATAGCACAAAGACATGCTAGCACCTCCAAATAGCTGTGAGTTCAAAAAGCAGAGCTGGGCAGCATTCATGAGACAGGGACCATTCTGAGAAGAACCAGCCTAGGAGAAGACTCCTTGGCACTATGGCCGATTGTGTAATGGATGCCAGTCCCTCAAAAACAACTTTCCTCAGTTACCTAAATCTTATTGCTTTGATTTTATATATTCTCTGATTCACAGTTATATCTGTCTTTCCCAGAATATTTTCTACAGAATAGTGGCACCAAAGGCTATATTATAGCACAGTCAGCTGAGTTTGGGAGATAATGTATGCAATATCCCTGTCTTATGGGCACAGACAGCATGTAAAAAAAAGCTCAGTACCATCTAAGAGTTAAAAAATAAAATGAAGCATTTTAACTTTTTAATCAAAGGCTTCCAAATTGATGTGAACAGGAATCCTTTTTCACTTAGTATCTTTTTACATGTATGAACACATGTTGGAAAATACAATTAGTGATATAGTAGAAGATAGTTATAGAGCTATGGTCAAGTTATACCTTGAGTTAAATTAAGCTCTTTCAGATTGATTTTCTACCAAGCACAAGTAAGCTGCACAAAGGAACCAAGGAATTAGGAGCAGTGTAACATAATTTTTTTGGTTGTTACTGTTTTGTTTGTTGGAAAAATAATTCTAATAGCCCCAGAAATTGCATGTCTTTTCAACCTAAGACTTTTAGTCTGTCTTCCCTCAGTCAAGTGCACTTGTTACACTTGTATATGAAGTTGATTTCATTCTGGCACTGTCTCTCTTCCTTGATTCTTTCTTTCCGTCATGAATGAGTACACTGTATATACAGTTTTTTGTTTACTCTTTTTCTCCCACTCCACTTTAAAGCTGTCCCCATATTCACAGGTGTTGATATGTTAACATTCATTTGAATAATCATGTAGTATTCTACTTCATACCGTATTGGTATAACCTTGAATTATTTCATCAGTCCACTGTTAAATATCAACTATATCAGTAACTCTTCAGACATAGAAGAGTTGAGTTGTTTTCCCAAATGAATTTTAAATTTCAACAAATATTAATAGTTCAAAAAGGTTATCCTCCTTTATGCTCCCATGAAACATGCATGTTCTCCTCCTCCTCCATAGTGATCAAGGCATTTTTGTAAATCTTAATTTCTTTAGTTAGTGTAAAAATTAAGTATTTTCACAAATAAGTTGTTTCCATTATTTTCTTCTGTGACCCATTGAAGACCTTTGCCCCGTTGTTTAACTCATTTTTTTCTAATCTCTGTTTAACACTTACTAGTTCTTTGTTTTATATGTACTGAAAAGCCTTTCCTGTTGATAATTTTGAAACTAGGAGTACTTTGAGAATTAGAGTATAGTGCCAATGGAGAACAATGGAGAACAGCATAAGAAATAGGGGCCCTGCCCTAAAGAAAGAGGGAAGTTTGGGGACTCCATGGAAATGTAGAAGTTAAGTATCAGTGCTATCAAGCTATCACCAGCCATCCTGTCCCCCGGCCCCTCCAGCCAGAGGTGACCTTTATGGCACTGCTGACCTCTTAACTGTCTTTCCTGCTGAACTCTCAGCAGTGTATTTTAATAGATCTGTCTTGTTCTGTCTTTGGTGAACCCTCTCATCCCCAAACCTGTATTCCCATTCTTGTATGCATAAATAAATAAAATTAAATTAAAAAAAAAAAGGAAAGAAAGATACAGGCTAAAATAAGGCCTATATCCAGAAGAGGCTGGTTGTTCTATAGTGGATTAGCTTCTACACATAGAAAGAAAATTATAGAAGAGCAGTGATGTCCTGTTCTTCTTTTGTTTTCTATTCTTGTGGAATTATAATAAAAAACATGTTAATTCTTAGACTAGAATTAAAATTAATTTTTTTATTGAAATAACCTGATTTTAATACTCTTGTCTTCATCATTCCTTAGTAAACCTATGATGATTCTGGAATAGTAGGAGGTGACAGTAAATTGGCAGAATCAAATTAGTTTAGATTTATTTAGTTTTATCCCTGAAAAAACCAGCTAGTATATATTATGCAATACAGTAATGTGTTAAGATATTTTAAATAATCTATTTGTTATTGATAGAAAAATTTGTAAGTAAGGATTGATATTACCATTCCCCTAAAGAAAGATGAGGCCTAACGTTTTAGAAACTTTTAGTTTTGTACATATATTTATGTAGGGGGTGAGGTACAGGCAACGCTTACTTAAAATAATAATGACTGTTTTTCTACTTGTGTTAGATGTGACTTTAGCCAAAATTAATTTGAAGCAAAACAATGCCTAATAAGGAATTTTTTTTTTTAAAGATTTATTTATTTATGCATACAGAACTGGGGTACAGGCCAGAGATGCGGAGGGTGAGAGGCTTCACCAGAGACAGAGTGGGGAGCAGAACAGGCAGATCGACGAAGTATACTGCTGAGGGGAGCAGGGGGCGGGTCAGGAGAGGTCTGCCACGCCATGTGGTCACCTCTGGGGCAGGCGGGAGTCGAACTCATGCGGAAGCCGTCTTAGATTCTCAGTGCTGTGCTTTAACCCGCTGCGCCACCAGGGAGGGCCCTAATAAGGAATGTTTTAAAGAAAATATGCTCACATGAAATCAGGGCAGCAGATAAAGGGGATAGTAGGTTTACCTACTAATATAACAAGAGAGATTATAAGATGAAAAATTAAATCTAGTGAATTAGACTTAAATACTGACAGAAAGGATGTCTTGATTTACCAAGGATGTCTGTTATCCTGATTAATTTAAAATATGTGCAGTATTTAAGATCTCTTTGATAAAAAATTTTTTGGTTTTTGGTTGATGGGAGTTTTTAATATTATTGCTCATATGTTTGATATAAGCTGAACGGTACAAATACAGTCCAATTATGATTAACTTTGTAATATTAACATAGAAATCTAGAGTTAATCAATTATATATGGATGTTATTTAGAAGTAATTGGTAAGAATGCCCACTTATGAAGCATCCACTATGTTAAGCCACTGTACTACAAGCTTTTTCCAATTTGCAGTGCAGATCTCATTTCCCCCTTTAATATGTGAGAGAGCTGTCCGTTTATACCAGTTAAATTCATCTAAGATCATACAGTGACAAAGCAAAGATTAGAACCAAAATTCGATTTGTTCCAAAACATACTTTTAAAAAATAAACTCTATTAGTTTCTATAAAAACATATAGTAATGTACTGCTTTTTGATCCAGAAAATTCTGTATTTGGAAGAAATTAAAATAATTCTAATACAGTACTTTGTGGTTGTCCAATTTATTAATGATAGTGCCATCTGTTCAATCAGTAAATATGAAAATATGACTATATCCCTAATATCAAGTTATGAATTCTTTCATCCTATGTTTTTTTTTTTTTTTTAATGAGAAGTCTAATATTGTCTGTCATCGTTACTTCATTTCTTCCAGTCATTTGGTCTTTCTCTGCCAGAACCATTGAATGAAGTAGTAGGCTTTTTCAGTTATGGTCTTTTTATCTATTTCTTCACATAGTTCTACACACTATATACGCATGCATGTATGTATACATATATATTTGTTTTCTGTTTTCATCATGTACAGGACAGTCTCTTTTTTTTTAGCATTTTATTATACTTTAATTATTTAGTTGTTTTACTTTTTTCTAATTTGCTGTTACTGATCTCTTTAGCCACACTTTTACTTAACTTTACTTCCTATTTACTTAATAGGGTTTTTGCCCCATGTTCATTTTTCAATTTCTGACATACCTAAATTTACATTTATTTTTTATATTATTTCATAGACGATCAACTGTAGATTTAATATCAGTGTTTTACTATTAGTATTTTTAAAATGTGTAAAATTGTTAGAGTTCTTACTTAAACCATATTTAAAACCCTATGAAATGTATATAGTTTTTTTCTTGATTTTGAGTTCTTATGTTTATTTAATCACAGAGGTCTTTTTGTTTTTTGATTTTTAAATGTGGAGATTTAGGCTTTTTTATATCAGGGATGTTAATATGTTCATTATATTAAATAACATTTGAGTACTTAGTTTTATTGCTTTTAGTATTACAGCAACTCTGGTATTAGGAAAGTATTTCATAGAGTTAACTCTGACTTAATAGCATTGTATCATTCACTTATAGGGTGTGTTTGACCATCGAATGAAGTGCTGGCAGAAATGGGAAGATGCTCAAATTACTTTGCTCAAAAAACGTGAAACTGAGGCAAAAATGATGGTTGCTAACAAACCAGATAAAATACAGCAAGCTAAAAATGAAATAAGAGAGGTGATTAATACAGAATGCTTTATCTCTTTACTCAGATTTTTGCATGAGTCATTCATATATGCATAATTTTTCATAAATTTTTTTCTGAATCATTCAGTACTTAGCTATGTTTCCATAATTTTATGAAATGTTTAGAATTAACATTTTTACCATCATTAGAATCTCCAGAACCCTTTCTTCTACATGATTATGGAATGGATAAAGATGCATACAAGGAAAAGATTTTAAGTTGACCTTTAATAATTACACATATCTTTTGAGGTGGTTAATTCGATTTCAGATTACTTATTTTGTGTCTAAAAATAGTTTTGGAGGTAGACTTGTCCCATATTTAGCTGTCCAGGTGACTATCCCCCATATATACATATTATATATGGTATTTTAGTAAATTGGTATAAGTTTATTATAATTTATACACTTTCTTTGCCATGCTTCAATAAGGAAATTGAAGAGGTAGGACAACCTTTATATTACTACCAGTAAATGTACCTGCTCTTTGAAGAGTATGTACCAGTGTTTTGGTTACATAGTGGGAAAATACCATTTCATTGCTTAGGTCTTTATTTTGTTTTAGCTATTCCATTATCACTAATCATACTGTTGTGTTGTTTCTATGTTGAACTTGGTTATTGATAGGTCTTAGCAGACCATAATCCCATACCTCTATTTTTTTTAATCTGGACATTTTACCATTATAAAAATGTTTTTTCAAATGTTCGCCTTATAATTTTCCTACTTTAAGTATTTCCATGGGCATACAAATTTTGATGTACACATTCTTGAAATTAGTTGAGTATTTTTAGCTGAATATCTTTGATGGAATTTGAAATGATTAATAATTTTAAAAAGAAAAGATTATAATCTTAACATTGCTAAATGATTTGATAGAGAATTTCTTTACTCAAAGTATCTTCATCTGATGGGAAACCCATGGGGATTACAATGGAGATGAAAAAAAATGTACAAAATGATGTAAAAATAAACTATTATATTAAAAAAATCTTCATCTAAGTTACATTTAGTGAAGATATAGAGACTGTAACACATTAAATACCATATTATAATTTTAAGTGTATCTGACAAGTATAAATGAAAATTAAGCTAATAGGTATTTCTATAACTAGGAAGTTAGAAGTTTGAATGATGCTAAGTTGGACTTTGTCAATATTGAGCTTTCACAGGATTTTCATGCATGTTAAATGAGTTATCTTGATACCTTCCAGGTAAGAATAAAATCGTTTGCATTTTTGTTTGATTTTATTAGTGGGAGGCAAAAGTACAACAAGGAGAAAGGGATTTTGAACAGATCTCTAAAACAATTCGGAAAGAAGTGGGAAGATTTGAGGCAAGTATGGTAATTTTACACTTTCCTTAACATGGTCACATTTTGCTGTGACTTTGTGGTGAACTCAAATTTGGTTTTGTACTTTTTTTTCTTTAACAGAAAGAACGAGTGAAAGATTTTAAAACTGTTATTATCAAGTACTTAGAATCATTAGTACAGACACAACAACAGGTAAGATGAATTTTTACAATTTACAAGCTTCTTCTGAAATTTTTTTTTGTTACACTTTTTAACTTTAAAGGCAATCAATGAAATTAGCTTTTTTAAACTTAGGAATAAGAAATGGGATAGAGAAAAATCAGTGACAGCAAAGGAAAAATAGAGTTGAGTAATTGGAAATATTCCTGAACACTAGGTACTTTTCCCAACTTTAGGCTATGAGAAACATCTTGGTATTTTTCTTTTGCTATCTTCTTAGGTTTGTTTCTACATTGATCAGACCTGTATGCATTCCTAACAGATAGAAAAAAAAAAAAAAACACCTTTCTTTTTTAAAGTTATTTTTGTAGTGTTTGATATTTGTCTTACTTTGTGTGGAGTTGGTGGTGATTGTATGGACAGTGGCCATTGTTTCCTTAACTAGAGAAGAACAAAGGTTTTAAAGCTACATGACATAAAAGTCCCTAAGACAAAGACAGCAATTATTTCCTGTATATTTATAAGTTTGAGTCCTGAATAAAATTTATTCCTCTAATTCTAAAATATGTGGTTCTAGAAACCTGTGTTCTAAAACAGGTTATATTTTGATTGATATTTAGCTTTGATTTTGAACGCTAACTACATAAAGTCAGTGTTTTGTAATGTGAAAATTAATAGTGCATATAAACTTGCTTTTAAAGAAATTGTTTTGAATGTAACTGCTAGAGACTTCAGAACTGTTGTTTTGGGCTACCCAGGAGAGACTGGCAGCTCATTCTTCCCAGTCTATTTACCTTGTACAGTAGTTTTTCTTTTTTCTCCCCAAGTCATTCTTTTTGACTAGTAGTTAGTAAAATGTGCATATCCTTTGATTTAGGAGATTACTTTATATTGAAACAATTCGTTATAGTTTATTTTGAGGTCATCTAATATTTGGCTCATATTAACCATGTTTCTGTATAAAATTTTACTTAAAATATCTGTTTTTAAGTGTTTTTCAAATTACATGGTTTACATTAAAAACTGAAATTATATAGGTGTAATTATTTTTAATTATACATTTAAATATATTTCAGTTAAGAGTAATGTATAGACTTCAATAAAAGTTAACTAATATTTGCTATTTGCATAAATTTTTTAATGCTATACAGGATACATACATATAAAAATTAACAGAATGGTGGTAAGAATATCTTTTATTTTTATTATCATCCACAGCTGATAAAATACTGGGAGGCATTCTTACCTGAAGCCAAAGCCATTGCCTAGCAAGAAGATTTTGTGTTAAGAAGACCTTGAAAGTTTGCTCCAGTTATGCTGAACTCCACAGTGAAATCACTTAAAATCATCTAAATAAACCACTATATATTTTATGAATTACATGTGGTTTTTTATATATATATAGATAGATAGATATATACGCTCTGACATTTTATTACAAGCTGCATGTCCTGACCCTCTTTGAATTAAGTGGACTGTGGCATGACATTCTGCAATACTTTGCTGAATTGAACACTATTGTGTCTTAAATACTTGCACTAAAAAGTGCACTGTAAGGCCAGAAAATTTTACAATATTTTTTCTTTACAAATTGTTCTGTAGTGTGTTCACCCTCTTTATGAAGTGAATTATCAATGCATTGATTAACGCTCACTTAAACATTCCTGTACAGAAATTATGATTTTGTGATTACAATAATAAAATGATATTCCTTGTGAAGTTATTAGTAACAAATTATTTGGGTATGTAAACATGAGGACTCTTAGGAGCATTTTTAATAAGAAGAAATCTTCTCTTCTAAATGTATGTAGATAATGTCATGAGCCATTAATATTTTTTAACTGCTAGAAAAAGCCTAACTTTCATTATTAAATGACTACATGAAATGTGTTTTCTTAATGAACTCATTATAAACCAAAGAACATTTATTTCTTTACTCCACTCTGGATACTAATCCAGTCTTGGGTAAAGGAAAGAAAACTGTCTTTGGTTAATTTTGTCCATCTCTATTTTACGTCCTATTATACATCTACTATGCATCTCCATTACGTCAGTAGAATTAGAAAAAATGTATTCATGTTTCTGTTACAAGTCCCATGATTTTTGTCCTTCAGTTATTATCTTCAGAATCCAAAACCTTGCATACTCCAAACTAATTTCTTTATTGTTTTCATATTCAGCTAGAAGTGAGTCATGTGTGGTCATAATTGAAGAACCAATTATGCCATAATATACCAGGATTGGATGAATAAATAAGGGTAGATAGCACAAAGAAAATTCAAAATAAAATGAAATGTATCTTTTGGCAACCAGCTTACCTTTTCTATATCTTCTCTAGGTGACTGTTGTAGATGAAAGTTTAAATGGTGATTGTCATCAGAATTATTTTCCTTTTTCAAAACGTATTCTTTATTCTTAAAGTATTCCCTCTTCCAAGGTTTAAGAAATACATCTCCCTGGCAGAGGAGTAAGTTATGGTATGTATAATTGAGTGTTCTCTGCATTTACTGGAGCAATTCATATATTAGTGTACTTCAGAGTATGTTTGTTCCTATGTATTTTCATTTCATATCTGCTGTAAGTACTCATATTTACTCTCTTGAGAACCTAGAAAAGTAACTGGCACATAAGTGATTAATAATATAGATGGCTGATTTGAAAATGCAAACTAATAGTTTGCTCTCTTAAGAAGGAACTGAAACAGAAGTAGTTTGTCATTGTTTCTTCTATTGAAGATAACTTAAATATGTATGAGAGTAATGTATAATAATACATACCTACTTGTCCAGTTAATATTGACCAAATATAGGCTTACCAGGATTAGTTTCACTATTACAACGTCTGAGAACTGTACTCGTGGTTACATTATTTCTAGAGGTATCATTTACACACAGGGTGATAATGTAGTTATCCAAACCAAAGGCCTCCATTCTGCCCTGGTACATTCACTTAGTACTTCCTAATAAAATTAACTAGTCTTTAGTCTTGATCAAGATGAAGAGAGCAGTAAACCCAAAATTCATTCCAGAGATTATTTCCCTTAGAAACCCTTTTTAAAAATAAACGAAACCTGTTAATCATGTGAACCTCTGTGAGGCACAATATTTAATAGAATTTAAATATTCCAGCAATCTACCCTTCACCCACCTATCTTTATATGTTCTGGTCACGTCATCAAGTTGTGTTCCTTACAAATAAGTAGAACCGAGAATACTAATAGTGTTTAGAACTTTAATTGTATGGGTCTGAATGTAAATATTTCTGCTTTCTCTTTCACCAAAGAAGTAGTAAGGCAGCATAACACAGTGGAGCAGGCTGAACTTGGGATCAGCATCCATCTGTTCAGTTTTGAAACTTAGTAGCAGTGTCTCTCGGGGTATATCACTAAAATCACAAGGACGGAAAATTCATTCCTGAAGTGCCTTTCTGCTTTAAAACATTTTGTTTCAAATTTCAGTATAAGTATTCTACTAGGACACCAGATTTTAATCAAAACCACCTTCTAAAATAAAACAAAGACTAGAGCAAAATGAATGTATGTAAAACTGATTTTTTAACATATAAAAGATTTCTTGATTGTATTTTATGCTCAGCTATTTTAAACAATTCAGTTTGTTTTATACATACATATATATACTAGCCTCAGAATACCTTCATTCCATTGTTGGTATTGTTCAAAGTTTTACAGGTTCCTCCTATTTCATGAGTATGATTTAAATATAAAATTTATTAACAAAGTCAAATTTCTTTAAAGGAAGGAAGTCAGAAGAATAGGGAAAATGCTCCCTAATCTTGATGTCTGTTTTAAAGCATGTGACTAGTTACAAAGCCCTACACGTACTTCACTTTTCTTAAGGCTCCCTGCAAGAGCAGTCATGTGATTATCAAGAACCAAGGATGTAGCAGAAGTTCAAGAGTACTAACTACGGAAAGGCTGAGCAAAAGTCATTCTGTCTTAAAGGAATGGTCCCTGGGCTGAGGCAAGAAGGTAACACCTGTGAAAAAGAAGTACTGACACTGACTTGGGACCTTTCAGACTCCAGTACATTCCTGAGGTTTCAGGTAATGACAGTGAGTGATTGACCAGACAAACAGCAAGAAGAGAATTACGCCATAAGAGTATGTGAATAATTGCTGATTATTCTACTGCTGTAATTGGGATCACGGAGAGGTCACGGTGACCCTGGGATGAGGTGCTTGGCATTTGGACCAGCAGCAACGTCACATTGAGTCATGTATGTAATTTTTAATTTTCTATAGTCAAATCTTAAGAAGCAGAAACAGGTAAAATGAGTTTTTTATATTCACCTAGTAGCTCTAAAATATTTCAGTACATGATCCAATATATTAAAAATTAACCAAGTTTTTTACATTCTGGTTTTCTTAGTTGCTGCAATTCTGTTACGTATTTTATACGTAATATCACATCTCCTTTCACACTTACCATACTTTATCGATTGTCACACATGGCTGGTGGCTGTATTGAACAATGCAGTTATAAAACAGTGCCTGTGGAAATGGAAATAGAGAGTATGTCCAACAAATCAAGTGAAGAATTTGAAGCTAGATAAACAGGACTAGCAGTTGTTACTGTCAAGGGCAGGTACAACTTGGCTGCCAGTCTCGGTGGCTTTGCCAGTGGTACATACAGTGTCTACTGTGAATGAGTTGTAGCACTGTGTTGCCTACACACAGCATCTCCTCATTTGACAGAGAAGCAGATCCAAAGCTTAAAAATAATGATTGAACTGATTTTTTCCTCTCAAGTATGTGTTAACTGCCTGTGAAAATTCTTCATGAAGATATCTGATGAACTTTTCAAAATTCGTCTCTAAGGCAGTCCTTTGGGATACAGAGAATTTATTACTTCAAACTTCATTCAGAAGTGAGCAGAAAATTTTAGCAAACAGAAAAGTTATAACTGGCTGTCAATTTTTTTTAATGTATAATAAGATTTTAAATGGTCATCTCGTCATACTTTATCCACTTAATTCTCTGAAGATTAAATAATTTCTAGTATATTTCTTAACTGGGTCGAATGGGAACTTTGTTATTAAAGCCAGTCAAGGTGAAGCTGCCCACTTGTTACCACATAGAAAAGTATATTTTTAAAGTAAGGTCAGTTAATGGGATAAAACCCTGAAGGGAGTACTTTGAGGGGGAAAGTATATTTTATCTGTATCTGTGTAATAAAATAAATCAGATAAAATTTAACAAAGCTAAACAATAAATTGCTTTCTTACTGCTTCCATAATTAAGTCTTGAGTTACCTTGATTTCAGTCTGTACTTTTGGAGTCTTTATTTCAAGAGTTCTCACTATATACATGTATACAATATGTGTGGATTTTTGTGGGCATTCATGCCAGTAAGCTTTTAGACCTAACTTAGTTTTATACTTCTCTTTAAAATATTTCTCAGCCTCTTCTGAGACATAGAGCAAAAGGCTTGTTTACGTTATTTAGTTTTACTTTGCTATGACCCGTTGGAGTTGATTCTGCTTATAAAATCTACTCCCTCATCATTTTCACTGTTTCTCCCCCAAGTTGAAGAATGTGTGACCATTTACTGGACCTGTCTTAAGTCTCACATAAAATACACTTTCTGTCAGTCTCCCTACCTGTTAGTCTTACAGCCTGCTGCTAAATTGATCTAACTATGAAACTCTTGTCACAGTACTATCCACAGAAATCTTAAATAGACTCCCTGCAGACTATAGACGAAATCAGAATCTCCAGCTCCTGGTCTCACGCTATATTTTTTCCTGGTCTTTACCCCTTACTGCCACCCATTTTTTGCTTTAATCAAATGATGCTTGTCTTTTGAGCATGTTTGGTTTCTTCTTTGCTAAATGCTATTGGTGACATAACCTTGTCAGAGTTACCTTTCCCCTTTACTGCAAATTACATCGTATCCACCCTCTAAAGTCAAGTTGATAATCCACATACATCTTCCATATAGTCTTTTTAATCTAACTGGAATGAAATAAACTTCTGGTCTCTCAATAGGACTCTGTTAGCAAGTTTCAGATCGTACTTACTTATGTCTGTCTTGCATTGTCCGATCTTAACTGCCTTGACTATTGTCTACTTCTTCAATGACTGTGCCCTTATTATTTCTTACAGAACCTAGTGTGGCATAGAGCCAAGAAAGTGTAATAGATTGTTGGAGAACAGTTAACCAGCTAGCCCACCAATTTGAACTGTGGCTCAAGAATCTACAGCGTGTCTGAAGAAGTAATTTAATTGTTAAAAGTTATGTGAAAGTTCCTGTTCAGGGCTCCTTATGGAGGATTTGCTCTTAGATCCCTAGAATTGAGGCCTAGACATGGGGAGCAGGGTGAGAAGAGCACAGACAAATCTGTTTGTAGAAATACATCACCCACTGCAGAGATACTCCATTGTGGTTAAATGAGTGTGTCAGGAAATGAGTTAGAGGCTTTAAAAGAAGCTGGGAGACTGAGGGAGGGAAAGGATGCGACGCAAATGTAGTGATTGCTTAGGATAAGACATGTTTATTTCCACACAAACAGTACATTCTTTGTGTCGTGCATTGAAGTCATGGAGTGGGCATCAAGGAAGGACAAGAAAATTAGCTGCAGTGATGTCAACTTTGATGACTAAGGATATTGTTGCTCTAAATAATTTGAGTTATAGGAGGATGAGTTTGGAGAAAGGCAAAGAGCTTACTTTTCCTGTGTAAATTGTTTCCATTTATTAGC